GTTCGCCCCCCTCTCCGCCGGCTACAACCGCTGGTCGCGGCCGGTGCCCAACACCTCCGACGTGGTCATCGTGAGGTTTGGGCTCTCCATCGCCCAGCTGATCGACGTGGTGAGTAGCTCCACCTGTCAGCTCTGCCCTTCTACCAGCTGGTCCTACAGGTTTGCCTGACTGGAGCCTGGGGACGCTGGTGGGAGGTCAGGGTCAGGCACCAGTGACCTGCTGGTGATTTCCAGCAGGTGACAAAGCACCCAGACTTCAATAAGCAAGGGGGTCTGCACCTCTCCTCTGTGTCCCAAACCCTCCCTGACAGCAGGAGAACATAATGGAAAACTGCAGTTCTCCACTGCTGCCCTGTCCTTATCCACAATCTACCCACCCTGGGGCACCTCTGGGCTTGTCTGTTCATCCATCCCTCACTAATTCCTCCTATGTACATCCACCTGTACACCATCAATCCATCTACCCATCCATCCCTCTATCTATTTGTCTATCAATCCATCCATCCATCCATAGAATAATGTAATTCCAGACTGGTTTGAGTTGGATGGAACCTTAAAGAGCATCTACTCCCAACCCCCTGCCATGGGCAGGGACACCTCCCACTAGACCAGGTTGCTCCAAGCCCCATCCAACTTGCCCTTCAACACTGCCAGGGATGGGGCAGCCACAGCTGCTCTGGGCATCCTGGGCCAGGGTCTCACCACCCTCACAGCAAAGAATTTCTTCTTAATGTCTCATCTCAATATCCCCTCTTGCAGCTTGAAACTGTTCCCCCTCATCCCATCACTCCCTGCCCTTGTCAAAAGTCCCTCCCCAGCTTTCCTGTAGCCCCTTCAGGTACTGGAAGGTGCTCTAAGGTCTCCCTGGAGCCTTCTCTTCTCCAGACTGAACAACCCCAACTCTCTCAGCCTGTCTCCAGAGCAGAGCTGCTCCAGCCCTCTGATCACCTCTGTCGTCTTCTCTGGACTCGTTCCAACAACTCCCTGTCCTTCTTGTGTTGGGGACCCCAGCACTGGACCCAGCACTGCAGGGGGTCTCACCAGAGCAGAGCAGAGGGGGACAATCCCCTCCCTGGCCCTGCTGGTCCCACTGCTAGGGATGCAGCCCAGGACACAGTTGGTTTCTGGGCTGCCAGCACACGGTGCCAGCTCTGTCCACCTTCTCATCAACCAATACCTTTCCACCTCTCCACCTATGTACCTGTCTATCTGTCCATCTGTCCATCATTCCGCCTGCCCACTCCAGTCTACCCTTGCCCGCCCATCGCAGCGGGTCTGCTCTGCAAGACGCTGTTTCTTGCTGCCATCTAGTGAGCAGATGTCTCGGGTGTCCAAGTCTCTCCTTGGACTTGTACCGGTACTGGTTGGTTCCAGGAGGTGAACCCCCTGAGATGGAAGGCAGAAGGTGATTTGGGGGGGGGATGCAGTGATGGGACAAGCTCTCTCGCCCTCTCCTTTCACTTCTCCCTCTTTCCCACCACAGGATGAGAAGAACCAGATGATGACCACCAACGTCTGGCTGAAGCAGGTAGGAGGAGCATTTTCTCACCCTGGGCAAGGTTTGCAGAGTGTGAAGGAAGGAATCACAGAATCAGAGACTGACTCGGGTAGGAAGGAAGATCATCTAGCTTCAACCCCCCTGCATGGGCAGAGACACCTCCCACTAGACCAGGTTTCTCAAAGGAACTGGATTTAGGGCAGAGAGACCCTGCTTGGGGGGGCTTGGTGGCATGTCCATGGTGCTGCTTCTCTGGGGGATGCTGCCAGAGGAAGAGGTGGAGGAGGAAGAGGCATTAGGCAGCTTGTTCCCACCAGACCCAAGGCCACTTGACAAGCCCCACTCTGTGTCTCCCTCCAGGAGTGGAGTGACTACAAGCTGCGCTGGGACCCGGCAGAGTTTGACAATGTCACCTCCATCCGGGTGCCCTCTGAGATGATTTGGATCCCTGACCTTGTGCTCTACAACAAGTGAGTGATGCTGCCAAGACGGGGCAGCCCTAGGGCTGTGTCCACCCCTAGGACACCTTCCCTGTCCCATCCCATCTCATCCTATCTCACCTGATAACATCCCACCCTGGTAGCTCCCTGATGCTGCCATCTCCATGGGCCTCCTGCCCCTCATCCCACCCCACTGGTAAGGATGCAAGTCAGTAACCCCCTGAGATGGAAGGCAGAAGGTGATTTGGGGGGGGGATGCAGTGATGGGACAAGCTCTCTCGCCCTCTCCTTTCACTTCTCCCTCTTTCCCACCACAGGATGAGAAGAACCAGATGATGACCACCAACGTCTGGCTGAAGCAGGTAGGAGGAGCATTTTCTCACCCTGGGCAAGGTTTGCAGAGTGTGAAGGAAGGAATCACAGAATCAGAGACTGACTCGGGTAGGAAGGAAGATCATCTAGCTTCAACCCCCCTGCATGGGCAGAGACACCTCCCACTAGACCAGGTTTCTCAAAGGAACTGGATTTAGGGCAGAGAGACCCTGCTTGGGGGGGCTTGGTGGCATGTCCATGGTGCTGCTTCTCTGGGGGATGCTGCCAGAGGAAGAGGTGGAGGAGGAAGAGGCATTAGGCAGCTTGTTCCCACCAGACCCAAGGCCACTTGACAAGCCCCACTCTGTGTCTCCCTCCAGGAGTGGAGTGACTACAAGCTGCGCTGGGACCCGGCAGAGTTTGACAATGTCACCTCCATCCGGGTGCCCTCTGAGATGATTTGGATCCCTGACCTTGTGCTCTACAACAAGTGAGTGATGCTGCCAAGACGGGGCAGCCCTAGGGCTGTGTCCACCCCTAGGACACCTTCCCTGTCCCATCCCATCTCATCCTATCTCACCTGATAACATCCCACCCTGGTAGCTCCCTGATGCTGCCATCTCCATGGGCCTCCTGCCCCTCATCCCACCCCACTGGTAAGGATGCAAGTCAGTTTTCAACCCTGTCCCCATGTCCAGTGCTCATGTTCCCACCCATCTCCATGCTCTGGGTGATGCCTGGAAGGATGAACCCAGAACTGTGCAGGGATCTGTGATGGGGCCACAGCCTCAAATCCAGACTCACACCAGCCCTGAGAGCTGGTGGAGCTACTGGTCCTATTTCCTGGTGGAAACCCTTAATCTTTCTCTGACCTTCCACCTGTCCACCCCTGCAGTGCTGATGGGGAGTTTGCTGTGACCCACATGACAAAGGCCCACCTGTTCTCCAATGGGAAGGTGAAGTGGGTGCCACCTGCCATCTACAAGAGCTCGTGCAGCATCGATGTCACCTTCTTCCCATTCGACCAGCAGAACTGCAAGATGAAGTTCGGGTCCTGGACCTATGACAAGGCTAAGATCGACCTGGAGAACATGGAGCACCATGTGGACCTCAAGGATTACTGGGAGAGTGGTGAGTGGGCCATCATAAATGCCATTGGCACCTATAACTCCAAGAAGTATGACTGCTGCTCCGAGATCTACCCTGACATCACCTTCTACTTCATCATCCGTCGCCTCCCGCTCTTCTACACCATCAATCTCATCATACCCTGCCTGCTTATCTCCTGCCTGACTGTACTGGTCTTCTACTTGCCCTCTGACTGTGGGGAGAAGATCACCCTCTGCATCTCCGTCCTGCTGTCTCTCACCGTCTTTCTGTTGCTCATCACGGAAATCATCCCATCCACCTCCCTGGTCATCCCTCTCATCGGGGAGTATCTCCTCTTCACCATGATCTTCGTCACGCTCTCCATCATCATCACCGTGTTTGTCCTCAACGTCCACCACCGCTCCCCCAGCACCCACACCATGCCCTGCTGGGTCCGGAGCTTCTTCCTCAACTTCATCCCTCGCTGGCTCTTCATGAAAAGACCTCCAGCCCTGCCCCTCTCCGAGGGCACTGCCGGGCAGTACGACCTCCCGGGGACAAGGCTCAGCACCTCCCGGTGCTGGCTGGAGACTGACGTGGATGACAAGTGGGAGGAGGAGGAAGAGGAGGAAGAAGAAGAGGACGAGGCAGAGGAGGAGAAGACATACCCCGACCGCATGTCACAGGCAGACTCCCAGGGCACCCAGTGCCAATATGGCTGTGGGCGACAAGCCGGGAAGATGTCAGAGGCCTCAGCCCCCCGGGTGCCCCCCAAGGGGGAGGAGGAGGAAGTGGGCTTGGAGCTGACATTGTCCCCCAGCATCCTGAAGGCCCTGGAAGGGGTGCAGTACATTGCAGACCACCTGCGAGCTGAGGATGCTGACTTCTCGGTGAGTGGGTGCTCCTCAAGTGCTGGGGGGAGAGGGAGGGTCCTGCACTATGGGTGGTGCCTCCTGCCATTTGTACCTTCATGGAGGGATCAGAGCTGGGATCCCTGGCAGGTTCCTTGGCTGCTGAGGACCCAAAGCCAGGGAGAAGGTCAGTGACCATTCTCTGGGAGATGCTGAATCCATGGGGTCAGTTGAGGGTTCCTCCAGCTCCCTGCTGGCCATGAGGATGTTGGAGGTCCTTCTCCTGCCCGGGACAGAAGAGATGGCCCAGCCTGTCCTGCAAGGACCCTGCTCAGATGCCACACCCCTACTTTTAGCCAGGTGGGATTTAGCCAGAAAACCCTGGGTGGGATTTACTCTCCTCTGAGCAGCCTCCCTGGAGAAGTCCATCCCTCAGCCCTGCTGCTCCAGGGATTTCCCAAGACACAGAGCATCTCCTCACCCCCAGGCTAAGAGCAGATGCAGGGGAAGGCCTGGGTGGTCTCCTAACCCAAATAAGTCCTCACAAACAGGGGTCTGCAGCCTCTGCCCGTGCTCACAGCCCCTCTCTGCTTGGCAGGTGAAGGAGGACTGGAAGTACGTGGCCATGGTGATAGACCGCATCTTCCTCTGGATGTTCATCATTGTCTGCCTGCTGGGCACCGTGGGACTCTTTCTCCCACCCTATCTAGCAGGGATGATCTAGGGGCCAGGCTGGACTGTGGTGGGGATGGCAGGAGATACACGTTCCCTCCTCCTGGGGAGTGGGCACGGTGGTGCCCACATTCAGCTGGACCCTTGCTGCTCCTTAGGAGGACATGGTGGCAACCATGGAAGGCCCTCAGATAGAAAATGGAAGATGAAACCAAGGCTGTGCTGAGGGGTGATCTGGGGAGGGACAACTGCCTGCCATCCTGCCCAGGGCAGTCACAGCCATCGAGGAGGGCACAGTGCAGCTCCTCCATTGCTTGAGCACAGGCTGGAGGCATCTAGGAGAGGTATCTGCTTCCTCAAGCTGCTGCGAGTCCTACCCCAAACCCAAGAACTGCATCTGGTTGAGACTCCCACATGCTGGGTGAGAAGAAGGGATTTCAGGGTGCTCAGAACCATAGTTGTGCATGATGTGGGGCAGGAGACAACTCCATGTAGATGGTCCATGTAGAAGGTGTATGGTGGTGGGAGGGAGGTCCCTGCTTGGTTGCATGGGTCTCTGCCCTGCAAAGCCCAGCCCAGGTGCAGACCCTCTGTAACCCACCAGCATGAGTGGTTCCTCCCACACTATCCCACACCAGAGCTCAGCATGGCAGTGAGACAGGAACAGCTGAGCTGGAAATGTGGGTGGCTTGTAAGGGAAAACTGGGATAACCCACCTGGCCACAGCCAGATGGTGCCCATGGACTCTGGGGTGCTGCCTTGTGCCAGGGCTGGTGGCCTTGGCTGGTCCAGGGGGAATCTGCACTGCCAAGGTGCACACCAAGCAACTCCTCCTCTCCGTCCCATGTCAGATCCCTAAACCCCCTGGCTCTGCTGGCAGCTGCAATCCAGCTTTGAATTCCTAGCTTCTGTGCACCCTGAAGGATCCACGTGTACAGGACATCTCTTGTCTTCCATGCCCCATGAGACACAAGGTTTTCCCTGCAATGTTTTTTCTCTTCCTGGAGACCAACCCATCATGGTCCTGGATGAAATCTGAGGGGCTGCAGAAAAGTGTTTTCAAGAGTGAAATGGGCAGGAAAAAAACGCTTCCACGGAGGGACAAGCACATCCCAAGAGTGTTGCAACCGCCACAGTGTGGCACTAGATCCCCCAAGTATCCTTCTTTTGTGGGGAACTCAACTTCATGGCTATGCTATTCCCCATAAACCACTTCCCAGCAGCCTCCAGTATGATTGCATGATGGTTTTTGAAAAAAAGGTCTGTGGATACCATCACTAGCAAGGGGTGGGAGCATAGAATGGAATCACAGAATTGTTTTAGTTGGAAGAGACTTTTAAGATCTTCAAGTCAAACAATTACCCCAGCACTGCCAAGGCCACCACTAAACCATGTCCCTCAGCACCACAGCTACATGGCTTTGAAATCCCTCCAGGGATGGGGACTCCACCCCTGCCCTGGGCAGCCTGGGCCAGAGCCTGATAACCCTTGCCAGGAAGAAATTGTTCCCAATATCCAATCCAAACCTCCCCTGGCACAACTTGAGGCTGTTTCCTCTTGTCCTGTTGCTTGTTCCTTGAGAGAAGAGACCAACCTCCCTGGTTCCAACCTCCTTTCAGGCAGTTGTAGAGGGCAAGAAGGTCTCCCCTCAGCCTCCATTTCTCCAGGCTGAACAGCCTCAGTTCCCTCAGCTGCTCCTTGTCAGACTTGCGCTACAGACTCTCCCCAGATCTGTTGCCCTTCTCTGGTCATGCTCCAGTCCCTCTATGTCCTTCTGGCCATGAGGGTCCCAAAACTGAGCCCAGGAATCAAGGTGCAGCCTCACCAGTGCCAAGTATGGAGCAAGCAGGAGGAACCCAGGCCCCCAGTCTGGGTTGTGGGCTCAATGGGAGGGAAATGGGGCTCCAGAGGGGACATGGATGCAGCAGACCCAGGTTGAGCCCAGCAGCTCCCCTAGGGATGCTGTCACTGAGATGGCACTTCCCCACTCCTTGATCTTTCTAAGGAGATGCCAGTGACCAAGGGACGTGTCCCCAGGGTAGGGTGGTGACAGGCAAGCACAGGCATGGACAGCAGGACTTGGTGCATGGTTTATCTCAGCCAGAGGGAACAGCGTTGTGGGGAGATGCTGGGGGAAAGCCCGATCCGTGCGGTTTCCAGCTCAAAGCACAAACCCAACAGCGACTGCTTTTGCCCTCCTTGCTTATAGAGAGCAGCTCGGGGAGAAAAAAAACCAAACAGCTCAGCTGGAAGAAGGATTGTCCTCCTGGTCGGTGTCCCCAAAGGCCTGTGGGGTCCCATCCCTCCTGTTGCTCTGCAGGGCTTGGGGCTGGGCACATTCTGGCCACTGGCGCCAGACCCGGCTCCCTTCGTTAAATAAACGTTTCTGGACAATGTAGGACACACCACTGGTCCCTGCAGCCACTGCTGCCGCGGAGAAAATGGAAGATGAAACCAAGGCTGTGCTGAGGGGTGATCTGGGGAGGGACAACTGCCTGCCATCCTGCCCAGGGCAGTCACAGCCATCGAGGAGGGCACAGTGCAGCTCCTCCATTGCTTGAGCACAGGCTGGAGGCATCTAGGAGAGGTATCTGCTTCCTCAAGCTGCTGCGAGTCCTACCCCAAACCCAAGAACTGCATCTGGTTGAGACTCCCACATGCTGGGTGAGAAGAAGGGATTTCAGGGTGCTCAGAACCATAGTTGTGCATGATGTGGGGCAGGAGACAACTCCATGTAGATGGTCCATGTAGAAGGTGTATGGTGGTGGGAGGGAGGTCCCTGCTTGGTTGCATGGGTCTCTGCCCTGCAAAGCCCAGCCCAGGTGCAGACCCTCTGTAACCCACCAGCATGAGTGGTTCCTCCCACACTATCCCACACCAGAGCTCAGCATGGCAGTGAGACAGGAACAGCTGAGCTGGAAATGTGGGTGGCTTGTAAGGGAAAACTGGGATAAACCACCTGGCCACAGCCAGATGGTGCCCATGGACTCTGGGGTGCTGCCTTGTGCCAGGGCTGGTGGCCTTGGCTGGTCCAGGGGGAATCTGCACTGCCAAGGTGCACACCAAGCAACTCCTCCTCTCCGTCCCATGTCAGATCCCTAAACCCCCTGGCTCTGCTGGCAGCTGCAATCCAGCTTTGAATTCCTAGCTTCTGTGCACCCTGAAGGATCCACGTGTACAGGACATCTCTTGTCTTCCATGCCCCATGAGACACAAGGTTTTCCCTGCAATGTTTTTTCTCTTCCTGGAGACCAACCCATCATGGTCCTGGATGAAATCTGAGGGGCTGCAGAAAAGTGTTTTCAAGAGTGAAATGGGCAGGAAAAAAACGCTTCCACGGAGGGACAAGCACATCCCAAGAGTGTTGCAACCGCCACAGTGTGGCACTAGATCCCCCAAGTATCCTTCTTTTGTGGGGAACTCAACTTCATGGCTATGCTATTCCCCATAAACCACTTCCCAGCAGCCTCCAGTATGATTGCATGATGGTTTTTGAAAAAAAGGTCTGTGGATACCATCACTAGCAAGGGGTGGGAGCATAGAATGGAATCACAGAATTGTTTTAGTTGGAAGAGACTTTTAAGATCTTCAAGTCAAACAATTACCCCAGCACTGCCAAGGCCACCACTAAACCATGTCCCTCAGCACCACAGCTACATGGCTTTGAAATCCCTCCAGGGATGGGGACTCCACCCCTGCCCTGGGCAGCCTGGGCCAGAGCCTGATAACCCTTGCCAGGAAGAAATTGTTCCCAATATCCAATCCAAACCTCCCCTGGCACAACTTGAGGCTGTTTCCTCTTGTCCTGTTGCTTGTTCCTTGAGAGAAGAGACCAACCTCCCTGGTTCCAACCTCCTTTCAGGCAGTTGTAGAGGGCAAGAAGGTCTCTCCTCAGCCTCCATTTCTCCAGGCTGAACAGCCTCAGTTCCCTCAGCTGCTCCTTGTCAGACTTGCGCTACAGACTCTCCCCAGATCTGTTGCCCTTCTCTGGTCATGCTCCAGTCCCTCTATGTCCTTCTGGCCATGAGGGTCCCAAAACTGAGCCCAGGAATCAAGGTGCAGCCTCACCAGTGCCAAGTATGGAGCAAGCAGGAGGAACCCAGGCCCCCAGTCTGGGTTGTGGGCTCAATGGGAGGGAAATGGGGCTCCAGAGGGGACATGGATGCAGCAGACCCAGGTTGAGCCCAGCAGCTCCCCTAGGGATGCTGTCACTGAGATGGCACTTCCCCACTCCTTGATCTTTCTAAGGAGATGCCAGTGACCAAGGGACGTGTCCCCAGGGTAGGGTGGTGACAGGCAAGCACAGGCATGGACAGCAGGACTTGGTGCATGGTTTATCTCAGCCAGAGGGAACAGCGTTGTGGGGAGATGCTGGGGGAAAGCCCGATCCGTGCGGTTTCCAGCTCAAAGCACAAACCCAACAGCGACTGCTTTTGCCCTCCTTGCTTATAGAGAGCAGCTCGGGGAGACAAAAAACCAAACAGCTCAGCTGGAAGAAGGATTGTCCTCCTGGTCGGTGTCCCCAAAGGCCTGTGGGGTCCCATCCCTCCTGTTGCTCTGCAGGGCTTGGGGCTGGGCACATTCTGGCCACTGGCGCCAGACCCAGCTCCCTTCGTTAAATAAACGTTTCTGGACAATGTAGGACACACCACTGGTCCCTGCAGCCACTGCTGCCGTGGCCCCTAGAGAACCACCAGGATGCCACCTCCCCCAGCTGCTGTGACACCCCCTCCCCACCCCTGGGGTCCAGGTCCCCGTCGCCACAAGCCGCCTGCGGCCGTCTGTCCTTGGAAGGGGGTGAGGGATGGACACACGGACCTGCTGGCTGAGCCAGAGGGATTTTCAGGTGCCCTTGGCGACAGCCAGGTCCGCCCCCACAAGGGACAAGTCACCCAGATGCCTCCCTTCTTCAGAAGACCAATGAGACGATGCTAAAGCCGAGAGGAGAGGGGACAGGGAGGGCAGGATGGCAAGGCCACAGGTGACACACAAAAGCCGGCAACGTTCTCCTCCCATCTCCACCAACGGAAGTGCAGTGGTCCCTCTCCTCCTCTCCTTCCCCACCCCTTCTTCTTTCCTCTCTCCTTCCCCTGCCCTCACTCCAAGCACAGCTTCACCAGGTTAGCCTGGACCTTGGCTTGGTCCACGGCATCCAGGAGGTTCTTGGCGTCCACAGCCAGGGTGTGGGAGGCCGTCAGCATCTGCCTCTTGCACTCCTCCCTCAGCGAGGTGACTGCGTTCTGCTGCGCCAGGCGCATCTTGTTGATGAGGTCGGCCAAGTCCTTGTTGAGCAGCTTCTGGGTCCCCTCGATCTGACCACGACATGCAGAGGTTAGGGACAGGAGTGCCACCAGCCCCTGAGCCCAGGCCAGAGCCTTGTCCCTTCCCCCCTGGCCCTACCTCGGTGCGGGAGGCAGCAGGCAGGACAGGCAGGATCTCATCCACGCTGCCGATCAGCTTCCGCAGGGACAGGCCCACGTTCTGCGGGGAGGGCGGCAGGGTCAGGGGGGCTTGAGGCAAAGGGAAGTGGGGTATGGGAATAGGTTGGGTCGCTGAGCCAAGGATCCCATTCGGGAGAGGGGCAAGGTGGGAGACTCTCCTATCATGGACCCGAGGACTCAACAGAGGAGCAGGACATGCTGAAAGTGCTGCCATGATTGGTCCAAGAAACTAATGGAAGTGCAGGACGTGCTGGAAATGCTCCCACCACTGACTCAAGGACCCAACGAAGGAGCATGCTGGAAGCTCTCCCATTGTTGACCCAAGAATCCAAAGGAGGAGCTGGGAATGTTGGAAATGCACCCTCCAACACCCACCAGCCCTTCCTGAGAAGGATGCTTAGTGGGAGTCGCTCAGCAGACCCATTCCCACCTCCCTCCCCCATTCCCCCGGCCTTGCCCCCTCCCTACCTTCACCACGAGGATGTACCCCTCGGGGGGCAGGAGGCTGATCTCGTTCTTCAGCTTCAGCACTGCCCGCACCAGGTCCATCACGTTGCTGTACACCCTGTCATCCGTGCGGTCCAGGTTGGCCGTGGGGGTCGGGTGGATGGGCTGCCAGGAAATGGGGACACGACGGGATCAGGTGGACAGAGGGGGTGAGGAGGGAAAGACCAACACATGTGGGGGACCCTGGCCAGACCTACCCACCTCCCACCCACCACCCCAATGCTGCTGGGTCCCTTTGGGGTTCAAAAAAGTCCCATCCTGCAGATGCAGAGGGATGATGGAGGTGGAGGAATGAGAGTGTGGAGGTGGAGGAAGAGGACCAGGACCATGGTGGCCCCCATCCAGGGAGGTCTCTTACCTGTGCCCCAAGTCTTGGAGGCTTCTGGGGGGGGACCGTGAACTCGGCTACGCCATCAGTAAGAGAAAGGAAAGAGTCACTCTGGGTGCTCCCATGGACACATGGACATGCTGCTGGACCCATGCTATGTCCCCACCACCCTGGAGCAGTGCGTCCCACTGTGGCTGAACACCCTCACCCACCCCAGCTATGCCACCTCCCCGCAGAGTCAGACCCCCTAGACCCCTATGCCCAGGACAGGCAAAGCTGTTCCCCATGATCTGGGATGTCTTCCATGGAGGACCCCAAAGCCAGGAGAGATACAGCCCTGAGATGACTCAGCACAGGGCCTCCCCTTTGCAGCCCCAAAGTGGGTTCTCCTGGATGGGGGCCACGGGACAACCTGCACCCTGGAGAGCTCTGGGCACTCACTGTAATCCGTCTCCTTCTCCGGGAGCAGCTGCAGGAGGAAAAAAACAGTAAATGAAAGGCACAAAGTCCTGGCTGGAAACAAAGAAGAGGGAGGAGGCATCTCCATCCCTTCCCAGGGCTTCTGTGCCATCAGTATTTCGCCCCGATAAAATATTCAGATTAATTTTCCCATTATTTATCACCCACCCATGGCAAAGCAAATGAGGATTCTTTTGGACCCCCAGAAGAAGGACCCGCCTGCACCCAAACACACCCTGAATCAGCTTCTCTGGGGCCAGCCCCACTCACCGGAGGAATGTTGTTGTTCATAAACACCGTGGGGTCCTACAAAAGGGGAGAAGCTTTGTGAAAGGCATGGAAAAAAGGAGAAAGAGGGAAAAATAGGGATTTTTCTGATTTCTGGGAGACTCATGAATGACACCAGAGGAATGTATCACTGCAGGGTCTGGGGATGTGGGAGGGGAAGGGGCTTCACACCTGTCACTGGTCTTATCTCCATCCCATCCCACCACCCCTCTCCACTCCCCGCATGCTCCAAAGGTACCAGAACCCTCAAACTACTGCTGAAAAAAAATGAAGCTTAATTCAAGCTCCTGTTTACAGCCACTGGGCATCCAACAGCCCCGGGGCTCTGGGCTTTGCTTTATTGGCTGCGTGAGTTGAGTGAATAAAAGATACTCAGTCTCCTCCTGAGCCTGTCTCACCACAAGATGATGTATTTTTCACACCTTATTTATCTCCAGTCCTTATTTCCAAAGAGTTATAAAAGCTCATTGAGATTCAATTGCAAATATTTTTCCCAAGTTTCAAACTATTCATTTTGAAATGAAGCAGCTCCATGAGGTTTTGATGGGTGCAGAAGATAAAGGGGTGCAAAAGGTCTGGCTGCTGGAGGAGCCATTTCTCCCAGGAAAAAAGGACTTTCCAGCCATGAAGAGCAAATTCAATGTTATTATTAATATGTAATAATGTAATCATAGAATCCCAGACTAGTTTGAGCTGGAAGGGATCTTGGAGACTCCAACAGCTCTATGCCCCATGACCCAGCACTGCAGGGGGTCTCACCAGAGCAGAGCAGAGGGGACAATCCCCTCCCTGACCCTGCTGGTCACGCTGCTGGGGATGCAGCCCAGGACACAGTTGGTTTCTGGGCTGCCAGGGTGTGTTTGAGGGTGGAAGTGCTTCATGAGGGTGCAAGAGCTGGGGACAGCCCCAAGCCACTCACCAGGGACTCCTCCTCCTGGCGCAGCCACTGGTAGTCCTCCACCATCTGCTTCTGCTGCTTATCCAGGACCTGCTGCATCTTGAGCCTCTCCAGCTCCCAGAGCTTCTGCGCCTCCTCCCTGCTGCTGGGACGGAGAAGATCTTCCTCCTGATGTGACAGGGTGACCAGGGGGGTCAGGAGCCAGAGCCTGCCCTGGTGTTGGCACGGGAGCTGTGCTCTGTGCATGCAAGCCATTCACCAGACCCCAACAGCCACGAACCCCCGAAGTGAATTTGGGGAGCGTTCGGTTTTCCCGGCAGGGAGAGGAACGTGCCCGGTGGGAACGCACCAGGGCATCCCGGAACGTCCCCCGGGCAGCGGGCAGGGGACACGTCCAGCAGGGCACCCCCGCAACGCACCCTCACCCCCGACCTCCTGTCACCACCCCTCCCTGGGTGCTGGATTTGGCTTTTTCCACAGGAAAACCGGGAGCAACAGGGAGCTGGAAGCAGCAGCAGCGGCGGCAGCGCGGAGCGGGGCAGGGAGGCAGCCGGCATCCCTCCCACCCAAGCCCGGCACATCCCGGGATGTGGCTGGGATGTCCTGGGAAGGCTCCTTCTTACCCTCATGCTGTGGCGCTTGAGGCCGCCGTGTCGCTGGGGCGGGGGGGTGCGCAGCGAGGCGGCCGGAGACTGGTACTCGGT